CGATTGTCCAGAGGTATCCACCAATCGAAGTACATACGAGAACATGGATTGAAGCAAGGCGAAGGAACAAGACAGAACAAGACAGAAGGAGGGAAGTGGAACGACCGAGGTCAAGAAGGAAAATGGTACCGATCCAGGGAGATCGCTCCCATTTATAGCAGGTGGAAACACACACACACACAGTGGAGACAGAGAATGGACTATCACACTGAAGACAGGTGGAAGCGATATCAGCAATCTGTTGGGGCCAACAGATGCCACAACAAGATGGTACAGCAAGTTGGTACAGCAAGATGTTACACAACAAGGTGGGACAACATCAAGTACCAGAGGACACACAACGTGGTAAAGTATACCGTCTCAGATTGTGCCTCTAATACTCCCCTTCAAGCTGAGAACGGAAGAGCATGTCACACAAACGACGATGGCTCGGTCCATTGAGCAGCTTGGTGAGAAGGTCAGCAACCATGTCCTTGGTCCCCCAGAACCGGACATCGAGCTGGTTGCGTTCATACCTCTCTTGCACAAAGCGATACTTGACAGCAATGTGCTTGGAGCCCGGAGAGTAGGCTCCGTTTGTAATCATGTGGATCGCCGCCTGGTTGTCACTGAACAACACGGGCTTGAAGACGGCGTGTGAGAGTTCACGAACCAGATGATCAACAAACATAGTCTCGCTGGCCGCAGAGTAAGCAGCCATAAACTCGGCTTCAGCAGTAGACGTGGCAGTGACCGTCTGCAGCTTGGAGCGCCACTGCACGGGTCCACCAGCGAGGTAGACAATGCAGTCTTCACGAGACTTACGACCAGTTTCTTGAGCAAAGCTCGCATCAGTGTAGGTCGTGAGGCGAAGGTGCTGGCCAGACCGATAAGTCAGACCAAGGTCCTTCGTGCCCTTGACATAGCGGAGCAGGTGCTTGGCAGCGTTCCAATGCTCTACGGTGTAGCAGCTGGCAAAGGAGCCCAGCATGCTGACAGCGGTGGCAATGTCAGGGCGAGTGTGAGTCATGAGGTAAATCAGTTTGCCCAAGAGCTCACGGTAAGGGATCGACGGGTCAATGTCGGTACTCCCCTTGTCGAGGCAAATGCCTGGACTCAATGGCATCGGCGCGGGCTTGGCATCGGTCATGTGAAAGGTAGCCAAGATATCGTCGATGTACTTTGTCTGCTTGATGGTCATGGTATCACCGTTGCGTGCAAACTCCATGCCCAGATAAGTCTCAATCTCACCAAGGTCGGTCATGGTAAACTTTTGCTGCAGGAGAGCCTTGGTCTGATCGAGGATGAGGCTGTTACTGGCAAACATCAGGAGGTCATCGACATAGACGGCGATCCAAATGGCATCGCGGCCATTG